TTATATATATCATGTTAGACTTATATATATATATAATAAATTCAAAGAAAACATTTTTTCCCGTCGTATTTTCATAATACGAGTAATAAATGGAGAATGTGTGCGTTATATGCTTAAGAATTTAATACAGCAAAAATATCATCCTTTGTATTTAACAAAAATTAATGAAAATAAGCATTGCAGAATGAAAATATGTTTAGTACTTTTTATAGTTATTTTCAAGATTACAATGCAAAGCCCCTCCAGTGGCACAGCGGTATGTCTGCGGACTTACAACGCTAGAAACCGGGTTTTGATACCCGTGGTGGGCAGAGCACAGATAGCCCTTGTGTAGCTTTGTGCATAATTAAAAACAAATACAATGCAAAACATATCATATTTTCTATTTAGCAAGAATGAATAAAAACACACATTATAAATTTGATTTTTATAGTTAGTAAACTTTCTGAGTGGTTAGATTAATTTGTAGAATTAATTTAGTCCCCTGGTGACTCAGGGGTAGTTTCAAGGGTTTACAACGCTGAAATTCCTGCAGCGTACACAGCGCACACAACCTCTTGTGTAGTTTTGTGCTAAAACAAACAATATTAAGTTATGGTTTAAACAATGCAATAAAATAAGGGTATTAGAAATGACGTGAGTAACATTGTTGAAAACAAACTTTGTTTAATAAGTGCAATAACAAAAGTGGGTGAAGTAAGAAGTTAGATAAAGTGCTGTTGTGTTTGCTTTTACTTAATGATATTCCTTTTGTCAACAAAATATTTTTGTACTTAATACGAGTTTGATTTATTCATTTTATGTATATATCAAATCTAATGTGGTTGCAAGTATCTTTTTTAAAAAATAAATAGACAAGTAGTAGTCATTTCTCTGTTATTTAATACTTGAAAGAAATACAAATACACCAAATGACTATTTATGCAGCTCTGAAGATAAAAGTTGCATTTTTCTTTGAAAAGAAACATACTTTTACATATTTTCCATAAAAAATGAAAGTCATTTATAACAGTAAAATATATGAACATAAATAGTAATGTGTGATAAAAATATTCAGTATTGTTGCGCATCTGTTTGTTTTTTAATTCCCGGTATTAATTATTTTTGAGAAACTTCAGCGAAACATGTCCTTTCTTGATTAACCCAGTTTATTCTTCCTCAATACAACTTTTAGTAATACACAGAATTTCCAATCGGTACGTTTAAACTTAACTACTTTTATAACACACGCTATAAAACACAGTGATTCACACACTTTACTTACTGTGCCCACTGTTCGCTTGACTCAATTATCTATATCTTCAATCTATCTGCCCTCTATCTGTATCTTTTCAATCTGCCTCTTCGATCGATGGTTTTTCTCGCCAGGCTTATATACTAAAAAAAGAGGGCGCCTAGCAAACACTCTGACATTCGCGGGGTTCCTCGATAATTCATGATCCTTCGAGAAACTCCAGCGCGCATGCTCCCAGGGTCGCGTGACTTCCGCTGTCGTAACACTGCCCCTTCCTTAGTATTGTTCGTCCCGAACAATAGCCAATTACATTAAACCAATAGCTAATTAACAATAACTTAATTAAATGTACAGAATTTACAAACACAAAATTAAAATACCACAAAGTCTCTTAATTTTACAGGACGTATCTTCTTCCGTATCAGTCTCTGTCTCATTCGCTTCTGCTTCATGTGTGGTTCATCTGCTCCATCAGGAAATGTCCCATTATCGGTAACAGTCACATCAGTGTTAGTAATTTCATTAACGGCTTCACTGTTTTCATTCTCAAAACAGGGTATAGTTTCTTCATCGACAGTGGCTTTTTCAGGTGACACGTCTTCAGCAGCGTCATTTGTTCCGTTGTTCACTTTGTCCCAACTGAAATGTCCTGGACCGTAATAACGCTAAAGCCTGTTGGCATGCACCATCTTTGGCTTACCTCGCCGACCACATTTTATTCAGAAAGTCACGTCTGAAAGACGATTCACTATGTCATATGGGCCTTCCCATGGAGAAGACAACTGAGGAGACTTCCCTTTGGTTTTCCTGGGATTATACAACCACACCTTGTCTCCTGGTACAAAGCTGACTTCAGTAGATTTTTTATCATAATATATCTTCATCGAATCAGCAGAGGTTTTTAAGTTTGAACGCACATGATGGTGAATATCATCCATCCTTTCTGATAACACTTTCACAAACTCTGACACATTTTCAGGCAACTCTTCGTAAGGTGTGCATCCTGTTAACAGATCCACTGGCAACCGAAGTTCCCGAACAAACATCAACTTTGCTGGAGTGTATTCAGTGGCTTCATGCTCTGCTGTCCTATAGGCCATCAACAGTGGAGGGAGTATAACATCCCAGTCATCTTGGCGGCTATTACAAAACTTTCCCAATTCCTGTCCAATTGTACTTTTCTACCATCCCAACAGATTGTGGGTGAAGTGGCGTTGTCCTGGTGTTTCGTATGCCAAACAACTTGCAGCATTCATGGAACACAGCTGATTCAAAGTTACGGCCTTGATCAGAATGCATTTCGTATGGCATAACAAACCTGAAGAAGAAATCACTAATAGCCGAAGCTACAGTTGTAGCTTCCTGATTTGGTATTGCATATGCCTCAGACCACTTGGTGAAATAATCCATCACCACACAAATGTACTTGTTTCCAGCACGAGTTCGGGGCAAAGAACCAACAATGTCAATGGCTACTCTTTCCATTGGTGCATCAACTTGATATAACTTCATTGGAGCACGTCCCTTACGCTTGGGTCCCCTTTTAGCAAAACATGTACTGCAGGTCCTGCACCATTCTTCCATATCTTGCCGCATACCTATCCAGTAAAATCTCTGCCGTAGGTGAATCAATGTCTTCTTAACTCCAAGATGTCCTATTGTTAAACAATCATGGGATTGACGCAGTACAACATCCCGTAACTTTCTTGGTATAACTGTTTGCCAGGTCGTCACTTTCCCATCTCCAGACAAGCATACCATTTTCAAGCTTCAACTGGTCCCATTGTGCCCAATAGCTCTTTATCACAGGGCTTAAGCTAGACACCTTCTCCCAAGCAGGGCACAAAACACTTGCTTTTAGAAAATCAATTATTGGCTTCAAATCTTGATCTTTCTCCTGTTCTGCTTTAATATCTATACCTGGTACCACTTCACCATCATCAACTCCTTCAGTCACTTTGACTTCAGCCTGATGGCACCTGGTTAGTTCAACCTCTCGTTTAACACTTACCGGAATTTGGCCTTTGTTGTTCCCAAACATCATTTTATCAAAGTTAACTACACACTTCCTCGCTAGTAAGTAGTCCAACCCTGAGGGATGCCCACCAATCTCCATTGTGAACGTGCCAACAGCTAAGTGTAAAATGGCAAGCACACATAGTGTCTACGTGACAGGAAAGCTGGATGGCCAAAAGTGCAACTTTCTTATAGATTCTGCATCTCAGCAAACCCTTGTGAGTATCAAGGTGCTAGATCACAAAGGAATACCAGAAGCCATGCAGAAACTCTGTGGTGTGACAGGACAATATGCAAGGTTGTGGGGACCAGTGTGGGTAACTATTGAGCTCATAGACTTAAAGGACAGACACAACATATACTTGTCCAATATTGAAGACCCATGCATATTTAGCACCAACCACTACTGGTTTCTCGAAGCTGACTTATTGGTAGTATTATTCTTACACTGGCTCTCCACTGTTCCAACAACCTTC